CCCCCAAAAATACATGTATCAGTTTGGCTGGGCCATGATTCTCATTATTGTGTGATTGTCCACCATTTTGTCATCTAATGTTATTTTCCTATGTGTTGTAAATCCTACCTCTATGATGTTAATGAAGTGGGATTACCGGCAGTTATGTTAATGAGGCAGGACTCAATCTACAAGATTAGATTGTGTCTTAAGTCAATCTCTTTTGAGATATAAAAGACAGAAGCGAACAGAGAGATGGGGACCTCATACCACCAAGAAACAAGAGCCAGGAGAATAGCTTTGGACCCAGGGTCCCTGAGCTGAGAAACTCATCAACTAGGGGAGATTGATGACAAGGACCTTCCTCCAGAGCCGACAGAAAGAGAAAGCTTTCCCCTGGAGCTGATACCCTGAATTTGGACTTCTAGCCTCCTAGACTGTGGGAGAATAAATTTCTCTTTGTTAAAGCCATCTGCTAGTGTTATTTCTGTTACAGCAGCACCAGATGACCAAGACACCGACTTCAGACAGACCAGTGTCTGAAGCACACTGACAGACCCCCTGCTCCCCTCCACTACGCAGAGCATATAAAATGAGTAAGATTCAAATGGGAAGTTTGTTTAAATTCACTGGCTCATTGGGAAGTAATGAAGTTGAAACCTTGACCTTGGGCTCTGTGTATTTGCAAAATGACTTAAAAGAAGTAATAGTGATCTTTTAAATGGCTCCCTGAGGCATCAAGGGCTACACAATGAATAAGGATACTGGGCTCAGCTGGTGATTTTACCTAGAGATAAACAAAACCCACGATGCCGGTCTAGACACAAAATAAAATTCCTTAGGTACGTTTTCCCATCTCCCCAAACATCTAAACACAAGTCATCAGCACAGAAGCGAAACAAATACACCCTTGGTTGGCAAGCCGACAGGAGACCAGCGGGAGCCAAGGAGCAAGCAGCAGCAGACCAGCAGCAAGCTCAGGAAGAGCGGACAGAGGAGCTGGGTGAGTTAGGGAACTGTGTGGGGGTGGGGTGGGGAGGTGCGGGGTGCTACACGCCCTGCTGCCCTCCCAGGCTGAAACTCACTGTCACCTCCACAGCCCATGGAACGCAGGGCTGAGGTCCTCTGTTACAGAAAAGGAAAATGAAGGTACTGCTCCAGATCAAACTCCTGGACAACATCATCTGTCCGAAGAAACTGTCCTGTGTCATTTAATAGCTTTCTTTGTCTTAGAAAGTTACTAGTGTAATGTTGATTTCTGCATATGTTCATTTTTAACATTATAAAGTACCCTTCGTTGTCCGCTGTCATGTTGAAGGGGGACTTCAACGGGGCAGTGCTGGTTCAGTGGCGGAATTCTCACCCTCCAGGCAGGAGACCCGGGTTTGGTTCCCAGCCAGTGCACCTCATCTGCAGCCACCACCGTCTGACAGTGGAGGCTTGCATGTTGCTGTGACGCTGAACAGCCTTCAGGGAGCTTCCTGACTAAGACTTGGAAGAAAGGTGTGGTAATCTACTTCTGACAGCCCGCCAGTGGAAACCCCGTGTGTTACCAATCATGGTGCTGGCACAGGACCGGGCAGAGTTTCATTCTGTTGTTCATGGGGTCACCATGAGTCGGGGGACGAGTTGATGGCAGTCAGCGACGACAACATTCAGCTCAGTCTGGTGTCGGGGTTGTAATGTCTGCTTTCTTATTGCCCCCATTTCGTCCTCCGTTTACTTCTGGACTTCATCCATCACCGTATTTCAGATATGTCTCTTGTCTACAGGATAACGTTATAAGTTTTGCCTTCGAGCCAATTTGAAAAGTCTTTTTTTTTTAATAGGCAAGTGTAGTCTACTCCTGCACATTACCACGGCTGTCGGCCTCGATGTTGCCATTTTTAGTTATGTTGCAGCTTTGTGTGTGTGGTGTTATAATTACTGTGTTTCTCTATTGGTGTGTCACTTTGCTTTAAAAATACATTTTCATGCTTACGGAGGTTTGTATTTTTACTCAGTAAATCTTTACACGAATACTCTTTACAGTGCATATAATTGGCATCCCTGAAGAAAATTAAAACAATGTAACAGAACATTTAAAACTAGTCTTTGAAAACATTCCAGAAATAAAAGGCCTGAGTCTGTGCATAGAAAGGACCCATGGGACCAGGAGAAATTGACCCAGAATGACCAACTCCGAGATGTTCTAGTAAAGCTTCTCCCCAAAACTACTTCTCCTCAAAGTTACCCTGTTAGGGATTGAATTGTGTCCCCTAAAAATGTGTGTCAACTTGGCTAGGCCATGATTCCCAGTATTTTGTGGTTGTCCACCGTTTTGTGATCTGATGTGGTTATCCTATGTGTTGTAAATCCTCCCTCTGATGCTAATGAGGCAGGACTCAATCTACAGGATTATGAGTCAGTCTCTTTTGAGATAAAAAAGAATCGAGCGGAGAGGAGAGGGACCTCTTGCCACCAAGAAAGAAGTGCTAGGAGTGGAGCACGTCCCTTGGACCTGGGGTCCCTGTGCTGAAAAGCTCCTAGACCAGGTGAAGATTGATGACAAGGACCTTCCCCCAGAGCTGACAGAGAGAAAGCCTTCCCCTGGAGCTGGTGCCCTGGATTCAGACTTCTAGCCTCCTAAACTGTGAGAGAATAAATTTCTGTTAAGCCATCCACTTGTGGTATTCCTGTTATAGCAGCTCTAGAGACATCCACCCCCCACCATGGCCCATCCCAACTATCCAGTCCTCCTGCAAAGCTTCCCTATTACCAGTTAGAACTAGTTTGCCCTCTCCTCCGTCTCTCAGCTTGTTGGTGCCTCTACAAGCACACCTCACGACCCACCTGACATTTCACTTCATTATGTAACTAAACTAGAAAATGTATCTGTTTTGAATGCATCTGTTGAAAATCGGTTTTGTGCTGCTGGGTCATTGGTCTTTACGCATTACCAGAAAGGCAAACATTCCAAGGACCTTCAGACTAAAACAATCGCTCCAACCCTAATCAAGTAAAGCCTACTTGACTGCATGGGTTTTACCGGTGCTGAAATTCTTCAAAGTTCTTATGTAATGCTTTTCAGATGCCTCATTTTCCTGTGAGGATAATTTAATCTGCCAGTGGCCTTCTCTTTGAAGCATTAGACACCATGGCAAGTCACGTTCTAACACAAGCAGCCAAATGGATCCTGCCTGCTGATAGGTGTTGTGGGTCCAGGTCTCAGCCCTCAGCACCTGTGGATGTTACCTTGTTGGAAGACAAGGGCTTTGCAGGCGTAGTTAGTTACGATGAGGTCATACTGGAGCAGGAGCCCTAACCCAGTGACTCGTGTCCCTATAAGCAAACGAAACCCATGGCTGTCAAGTCGATTCTGACTCACAGCAACCCTATAGACAGAGTAGAACTGCCCCATAGGGTTTCCGAGGAGCAGCTGTTGGATTCGAACAGCCGACCTTTTGGTTAGCAGCTGAGCTCTTAACCAGTGTGCCACGAGGGCTCCGTGGCTAAGATGATAGTAGGCTCCAGAAAGCTCTAGAGATTCATGCTACAGAGGAATAAAAGGAGGATTTTCTCTGATGAGAAATACAGCACTTTTTTCTTTATGCTCTTAGAATCAACCATAACTATGTGGCAGCTCCCAGTGATTATAAAACATGACAAAGGAAAATCTAATTATTCTTAACAGCATCACCGTTCACAGTCATGCAGTGGGTTTTTTTTTTTTTAAACAGGATTATTCTGAAAATATGGTTGTTCTGAGGAGTAAATAAATGTTTGTAAAGTGCTTAGCATAATGCCTGGCACAAAATATGTCCCATTTTAAGTGTTAGTAAAATGCAAAGAATACTACCAACCTGATGAAGACACAGTCATATTTTATCTCTGCATACCTCAAAGCATTTGAAGAGGGCAGACGCCCAGGGGAAGGTGATGTTAACAGGGAAGCAGCTCATTTCACAGGACAGTACTGCTGTCAAGCTGCCATTGAGTCAGCCCCCGACTCACGGTGACCCCACGCACAATGGGACTGGACCGTTGTGATCCATAGGGTTTCCACTGGCTGTTTTTTTGGAGGTAGCTTGCCAGTCACAGGCCATTAGGTGTCCTCCTTGTGAACACGAAACCCCTACAGCAGGGAAAGGTGGCTTCCTGTGACCCCCAATGGAAGCCCATGGGCTTCATCGTTATCAAGAGAAACCCTGGTGTCCTGCGTCTCACAGAAAAGGCTGTTCCCAGCTTGAGGAGAACAGAGCACCCAAGGATGGGTACCCCACACGTGGGCAACATGTCACATGCTATTTTCAGACTGACCAGGAACCCCATCTTGGGCAGGCCTGGCCTAGCTGCTCTGTGGGTTTAAGCACTTTTACAGGAGGCAGGGAGAGAGGGTGGGGTCACCCAGAGAGGGCACCAGGCTGCTTACCTTGTATATGTAATTCGCATCTCTCCTGGCGAAAATAAAGAAAGACGGGGCTTCTGTTTTAACCCGTGCACACTCCTAGACGATGCGGTGAGAGGTGCCTCACCCCTGACTCAGGACTTCTGCCTGCCAGCGCCACGGTGCCCCGAGTGGGCACAGCTCACACCAGGCCAGGGGAAGGAGACGCTGCAAGGTGAGAGCTCTGAAGTGCTCAGCCACCTGGAAGACAGGATGTCTATCCTCACCGAGCAGAGATGCTTTCTAGCACCCCCATGCACGAGCCCGCATTCCTCCTCTGTCTGAACAAGATCCCCCGCTCCAAGAAGGCAGCCCAGCCAAGTGGACTTTCCTGAACCTATGCCATTTCCCCAAATGCACGGATACCCGCTTTATCTTGTAAAGAAGACCGATAGCTTAATCAAGAATGTCTGAAGCTTTATTTCCACCACGAACCAGCTACTTGAGGCTTAGGATATTTCCCTTCTTTTGATTTACTCAAAATTTAGCCATCTTTACATGAACCCCCAAAATTAATTCACAAACTCTGAAGTGAAAAGAACACAGTAGGCGGCTTATATTAATGAAAGAGTTGTAAACACTTTTCACTTTGGAGTTTTTAAGGAAGCAGTGACTTGTGCATTTCTTGCTCTTGCTTTTCAAAACACAGGGTATTTCCACAATTTCGGCATCAGCGCATGGTCTCTCTGGGCGGGGGGTAGAACACAGGGCCATCTTCACAGACCTCCAGCCCCATGCTCGAGTCAGCCACATCCGCCCCCCTGGCTTTCTGCCGGAGGGAAGCCGAGAGCCCGGGCTGGGTGCAGTTACGTAACTGCAGGTCCTTCGTGAAACACAGTTCTATCTGAGCGATGCTCTGTACATCCTCATTCTAAGGACAGAAATGAACGGCAGTGGTCAGATCTTGATTAGCACCATGCTTTCGTAGTCATGAGGTCTGCAATAAGACGGTAACGAGAGGAACAGCCACAGAGCTCAGGCCCCAGCTGCCATGAATAAACACTTTTTATTTAACAGGTGCAGCGACTCGAACCAGAGTCCTGGCGGCACAGTGGTGAAATGCTTGGCTGTTAACCAAAAGGTTGGTGGTTTGAACCCACCAGTGGCTCTGTGGGAGAAAGATCTGGTGTTCTGCTCCAGTAAAGATGACAGCTTAGAAAACCCTATGGGGTAGTTCTACTCTGTCACATGGGCCCCTGTGAGTCAGAATGACTCAGGGGCACCTAACAAGAGTGACTCAGTACCAGGGTCTAAAGAACTCAGCTGTGGGCAGTGGGGCACGGCCCATGGTTCCGTCGGCCGGTTACCCATCCCCACGTGCCTTCACACACCAACGGCAGTCGTGTATGAAGATATGCTGCTTTTATTGTAGAAAAAAGTTAAGAAATGTACGCACCGACAAAGATCTGTACAGATGCACTGCATACGCATGGTATGTATGTATGTATGTTAGGGACTGAACTGCTTCTTCAAGTCCTAAGCCCTGTACCTGTGAACGTGACCTGGTTTGGAAATAGGGTCTTTGAAGATGTTATCGGTTAACATGAGGTCACGGGAGAACAGGTTGGGTCCTGATCCACTCTGAGTGGTACCTTGTAAACGAGAAGACACAGAGGGAAGACGCCACATGAAGACAGAGGCAGAGACTGGAGGGATGTGGCCACAAGCCAAGGAACGCCTGGGGCTGTGAGAAGCGGGAGAGACAAGGAAGGCTCTTTTCCCAGAGGCTTTGGAGAGAACATGGCCCAGCGGACACCCTGAGTTTGGACTTGTAACGTCCAGAACTGTGAGAGAATACATTTCTGATCTTATAGCCACCCACTTCATGGTACTTTGTGTGGCAGCCCTAGAAAATTAATACATTTCAAGATATTAGGGAAAGAAAATGGCGTTTGTATCTAAATAAGTAAATAAAACCCATTGCTGTTGAGTCAATTCTGACTCATAGTGATCCTACAGGACAGAGTAGAACCGTCCCAAAGAAGTTTTCAGGAAGCAGCCAGTGGATTTGAACTGCTGACCTTTTGGTTAGCAGCTGAGCTCTTAACCACTGTGCCACCAACTGTACCCCATTATTAAAAGAAGTTATGTCTCTATCAGCTAACAATGTAAAATCTTAATTTTCCCATTTATAAATTTTGTACAGTAATAATATTTCCCCTTCTCCTTATTCCACCTTCCCTTCCAGAATATAGGTAAATTCTTATTAGGAATAAGGGGCAAAACCAACCCTGTCCTGGCATGGTGTCAAGGAACAATCTGTTATTTCAAAACACACACTTATACACACACATAATTTCACAGAAACCATACACACATTCACACACCACACCCTCAGACACATACACCACACAAACTCATATATTCACTCACACACCACATACACTCAAAATACCACATACACTCACATACACCACACACACATTCACTTACACCACACTCATATTCACTTACTATACACCTGCTCACAATACACACACACACACCCCACATTCAGTCACACACCACACACTCGCTCATAGTCATGCACACTCCATTCACTCACACACCACACACACACCACATGCTTGCATTCATTCACATTCACTCACGTTCATACAGTCACATTCATTCACACACCACACACACACCACACAACACACATTCACTCGCACACACCACACACACATTCACACACCACACACATTCACTCACACCACACTCACATTTACTCACACACCATTCACTCACACATACCACACACATTCACTCACACCACACACACATTCACTCACACACCACACACACACCACATGCTTGCATTCATTCACATTCACTCACGTTCATACAGTCACATTCATACACACACCACACAACACACATTCACTCGCACACACCACACACATTCACACACCACACTCACATTTACTCACACACCATTCACTCACACATACCACACACATTCACTCACACCACACACACATTCACACACACACCATACACACCACATTCACACACCCTATGCACTCACACCACACATTCACACACACCACATGCATTCACTCACACACCATACACATTCACTCACACCTCACACTCATTCACTCACACACCACACATTCACTCCCACACACCACTCACATTCACACCACACACATACACTCACACACACCACACACACACCACACATTCACTCACACAGACCATACACTCACATGCACTCACACACATGCTCACATTCACTCACACACCACTTACGTTCACTCAACACACCACACAGTGCACACACCACATGCACGTGTGCATGCAGATACACATTCCTGCACACCACACACACACACAGAAACACACACACACCCATCCACATGCACACACAGACACAAAACTCCCATGAAGTCCATGGCGAACACAGATCTGTCAAGAAAGTTAAACTCGTTTTTGCAATGAAGACACAAAGGCAGACAGACACACTTAACCTTTTCAGGCGGAAGACACTGGACTTTCGGCATTACTCCATACACACTGGCAAGCGCGTCTCTGATATCTGCGACCTGAAGTTAAGCAGAGTGCATTAGGGACACCATGTCACCTGCTATGACACAGTCTTAGTACCCTCTCCACAGTACATGACAATAACAGGTCAGTACACCATCCTCCCAGCGCGACCTCGGGGACGCGACCAGGCTTGCACAGACGAGGGTGTGCAGTCTTGAGATTAAACCTGGCTCCCACAAGATGACAACATGTCCCTCCCGCACAGTGACCCCGTCAGCCAACTCCCGTCTGCGAAACCTTTTCAGATGGCACGTTCCACCTGCCCCGTCAGAACCTGGAACCGACACTTCCCGCCCGGAAGCCCGAGTCTGTGCTTCACTCAGCCGCTGACTTAAGCAGCCTGGCGTGGTTTATGCTCAGTATCACGAGGAAACACAAATCAATCCCTTCAGGAACACGAACGTGACGCAGGACTGGCTTGTGCTGGGTCACTTGAAAACCCACTCGCGCCTCACAGCTGGAAGGGCAGCTGACCCTGCCAGGTGGCCTCGTTTAGCAGATTACATTAGACGAGACGCAGATGGCAAGACTTACCTGGTAGTAATCGATAGATGGTTTTATCCCCAACTTCTGGAGCATACTAAAATTTAAACAAAAAAAATTAGCTGTGTGAGGGTTCATCCTCCTTTCTTGTTCAAATGTCCTGTTTCTGAATAAAAAGCAAGTAAGATATTCCTGTTGTTATGTGCCATTGAGTCAATTCTGACTCATAGTGACCCTATAGGAGAGAGCAGAACTGCCCCATAGGATTTCCTAGGCTGTAATCCTTACAGAAGCAGACTGCCACATCTTTCTACCTCGGACAGGCTGGTGGGTTTGAGCCGCTGACCTTTCAGTTAGCAGCCGTGTGCTTAACCACTGCACCACCAGGGCTCCTTAAGATATTCTTAGGAGTTTTTTTTTTTTTCTCCTATTACTCCAGACAGTACATCTTTTACCAAGCACAGCGTACAGTGGCACTTGGGCCATCACGGAAACCCTGGTGGCACAGTGGTTAAGAGCTACAGCTGCTAACCAAAAGGTCGGCAGTTCAAATCTACCAGGTGCTCCTTGGAAACCCTATGGGGCAGTTCCACGCGGTCCTATAGGGTCACTATGAGTCGGAATCAACTCGACAGCAACGGGTTTTTATGGGCCAACACCAACCTCCCCTCATCCTTAGCACATGACCCTAACTGGTCTGGGTTCACTCTCCAGCTGAGTCCTGCTCCACGTTCCTGAGGGCCACTACCAACTGCAGTTGGCACACATGTTACCATCTACCACCTGCCATACCTGCTGTAGACTCTAGGCTTATCCTAGAACACTGCATTTGCTCAAACCTTTAAGTACCTTACATGCCTACAGCCTTGAAGCACTTCCCACAGCCCATGGTTTTAAACAGCAGTAGAGGACTCTACCGAAGTAGCACACCCCTAACTCACCTGTTAATTACGGGGCACAATGTACAAAATCTCACACCAAACAGTCTGAAAAAACAATGTGTAGAACTCTGATGGTTTATTTCATGTGTCAACGTGGATGGGCTATGGTGCCCAGTTGGTTGGTGAAACACTGGTTTAGATGTTGCTGTGGAGGCATTTACGTGTGATTCCCAGTACTGTGTGATTGTCCACCATTTTGTCATCTGATATGATTTTCCTATGTGTTGTAAATCCTACCTCTATGACGTTAATGAGGTAGGACTCAATCTACAAGATTACGCTGTGTCTTAAGTCAATCTCTTTTGAGTTATAAAAGAGAGAAGTGAGCAGACAGACAGGGGACCTCATACCACCAAGAAACAAGAGCCAGGAGAAGAGCACATCTTTTGGACCCAAGGTCCCTGTGCTGAGAAGCTCCTCGACAGGGGAAGATTGATGATAAGGACCTTCCTCCAGAGTTGACAAAGAAAGCCTTCCCCTGGAGGTGGTACCCTGAATTCAGACTTCTAGCCTCCTAGACTGTGAGAGAATAAAATTCTCTTTGTTAAAGCCATCCACTTGTGGTATTTCTGTTAGAGCAGCACTAGGATAACTAAGATACCCTCTATAATGTGGGTGGGCCTTATACAGTAAATTGAAGGCCTTAAGAGCAAAAACAAATTTCCTGGGAGAGAAGGAGTTGGCCTCAAGACTATAACATATATATTCTGCTGGACTTTCCAGCTCACTGTCTGCCATACAGATTTTGGACTTGCCAGCTCCCACAATCTCAGGAGCCAATTCCTTAAAATCAATCAATGAGCTTGCTCTCTGGGTACAGGTAGTTCCCAACTTACAATGGGGTTCCATTCCTATGACTCTGTTGTAAGTCAATTCTGATGTAAGTTGAATACCTCATTTTTTTTCCTTTAGTTTTCATTATTATTGCCTTTCATCATCAGCATCTTTCTCTGTGGGTTGGAAACATTACATGTAAACTGACACACAGCAACACCGTATGTAGAACATATTACTAACGATAAAACCAGCTGCCGTCCAGTTGATGCTGACTCAGAGAGACCCTATAGGGCAGGGCAGAACTGCCCCATCAAGTTTCCAAGGAGCAGCTGGTGAATTTGAACTGTGACCTCCTGGTTAGTAGCTGTAGCTCACGGTGACTCTTAACCACTGCACCACCAGGGCTCCTACTAATGAAAAGATGTCCAAACAAGAATGGATGGTCGTAAGCACAGTTCGTCATAACTCAAATACACTGTAAGTCAGGGACTACCTGTATATATGTACACACACACATAGATGACCTGTCGGTTCTGTTTCTCTGGAGAATCCTACGAGTGCCCCACCAAGCCTGTCCACGTCACACCAAGCAGACTCTGAGACTCAGGCCACCTCTCCCCACGCTAACTTATAATCAGACCAAGAATTAGCCCTCAGGAAAATGAAGACTGACAAGGGCATTCCTTTCTCAGCCATGATTTCTGACAAGTATATTACATAACAAGAGTTTCTCCAAAGACTGAAGATCAGAAAGTCTTGATCTTTGTGTCATTCTCCGAGCAAGCAGTTAAGAGGTAGTGGAGGGCCTTGAACCCTAGAAATTACCCAAACCAGCATGCCTTCACCCACTGCCTGCCCCCACCCTCAGTGCTAGACAGTGGTGAGGTGTGTCATGATCACTCGTGATGCAAGAGAACTGGGGAAAACCAAGAAAGTGCCTGCTGAGGGTGCCAGCCCGAGCTGTCTCCCGATGGCGCCTGGAACAAGCCCAGGCCTTCACTGTCCTGACGCTCCCGTTGTGCCAGGTGTGCCAGCCATACTTCCTTTCATTCTAAGTAGTCATAATAAACCAGCAAACTCATTTTTATAATGTGACAGGAGATTATAAGGCCTCTGTGTTGCTGCTTATAATTTATACAGCTTGCTTTAGTCATAGCAATTCTCTTTCAAACTAGATAATTGGAAACTTATTTCCTTGTCCAAAAAATGTAGCAAACTCCCATTTCAAATGTCATGAGGCTAATTAACTGAGAACATGCCTGCAGTCAAACTTCTCAGGCCCAGGAGGCGCAGAAGGAACAACCATTGTTGTCAGATGGGCAGAATGGAGCCCGGTGACGGGCCCTCTCAGGCGAGAAGGATGCCCTCTTTCTGAACTGCAGTCTCAGAGGGGCCTCTCAGCCTGGCTCTGCACGCACATCGCCACACATTACCTGGGTGAGAGCAGGCCAGCTACACTAGCAGGCTTTCACTGAAGCAAGCAGGAAGAGCAAAATGAATGGATGCTGAGGAAAAGCGTTTAAGTAAAATATCCAAGTAATTAATCCTCTTATTTAACAAATCTTTACTAGTGCCCCTATTTATGCTTTTTCAACCTCAGCAGCTTTACACACACACACGCTCACTCACACGCATGTACATTCACACGAACACACCCACATTCAGAAATTCTCACACATACACTCACCAACACACACACACCACACACTAACACTCTCACACCAACTTTCATACACACACCCAGCACACACACACTCATAATCAGTCACACATATTCTCTCACACCCTAGTCACACTCACACACACACACACACCCTCATAGTCACACACACACCCAGTCATACATTCACACGCACTCACACCCCCTCACAGTCACACACACACATTCTCACACATACCCTCAGTCACACACACACACCCTCATGGTCACATACACACCCTCACGGTCACACACACACACACACACACACACACTCATGGTCACACACACACACCCTCATGGTCACACACACACACACATACCCTCATAGTCACACACACACATTCTCACACACAACCTCAATCACACACACACCCCCTCATGGTCACACACACCCCTTCATGGTCACACACACACCCTCACAGTCACACACACACACACCCTCATGGTCACACACACACACACCCTCACAGTCACACACACACATTCTCACACACACCCTCAGTCACACACACACACCCTCATGGTCACACACACACCCTCACAGACACACACACACACACCCTCATGGTCACACACACCCTCACAGTCACACACACATGCTCCTTCACAGTCACTCTCACATACATTCTCTCTCACACACCCTCACAGACACACACACACACACACACCCTCATGGTCACACACACACCCTCACAGACACACACCCTCATGGTCACACACACCCTCACAGACACACACACACACCCTCATGGTCACACACACCCTCACAGTCACACACACACATTCTCACACACACCCTCAGTCACACACACACCCCCTCATGGTCACACACACACCCTCACAGACACACACACACACCCTCATGGTCACACACACACCCTCACAGTCACACACACACACCCTCATGGTCACACACACCCTCACAGTCACACACACACGCTCCTTCAGTCACTCTCACATACATTCTCTCTCACACACACACACACCACTTGCCCACGTCCAGGAGTGAGATGAACAAGGCCAGGTCCCATCACTGCTTGGGACGCAGGAGCGCGTCTGTCACTCACCCTTAAGTGAGTGTTTCCCGGGCACCCACCCAGGAAAGAGCAGTGCAGGGAACACAACGCTCGCTAACAACCGCAGAGACAATTACGGAAAATTATGTTCTCTCCCGCAGTGTCTCCAAGAAAAATAAAAAATTCTTGGCACTTACAAAATTAAAATTATGAAGTCTTAAAATAAAACCTCTATTATTTTTCTCTATCAGTCATTACTACAAATTACATTTTTCTCATGGGTTAGCCTGTCAAATCATCATAAACAGGAATTTTGTGCTGACTTCATAACGCGAAAGCAGCAAACCTGAAAAACTGCAAAATTTATCTTGAAGCGGAATTCTCAGAAAACTCACAGATACAGCCATGTAATGCCAAACTCATCTTAACTAGGTAGAAAACATTATATACTCCTGCCATGGATTAAGTTGTGTGCCCCTGTCACAGACTGAATTGTGTCCTCCAAAAATATGTGTATCGGTTTGACTAGGGCATGATTTCCAATATGTGTGTTTGTCCACCATTTTGTCATCTGATATGATTTTCCCATTTCCTGTAAATCCTACCTCTGTGATACTGATGAGATGGGATTAGCCACAGTCATGTTAATGAGGGAGGACTCAATCTGTGAGACTGGATTGTGTCTTGAACCAATCTCTTTTGAGATATAAAAGAGAGAAGCCAGCAGAGAGACATGGGGACCTCATATCACCAAGAAAGCAGTGCCGGGAGCAAAGCGTGTCCTTTGGACCTGCGGTCCCTGCACCTGAGAAGCCCCTAGACCAGGGGAACATTGATGACAAGGGCCTTCCCCCAGAGCTGACAGAGAAAGCCTTCTTCTGGCGCTGGCACCCTAAATTCAGACTTCTAGCCTCCTAGACAGTGAGAGAATAAATTTCTCTTGTTAGAATCATCCACTTGTGGTATTTCTGTTATAGCAGCACTAGATGACTAAGACAGCCCCCCCAAAATACGTTCAAGCCCTACCCCTGTACTGTGACCTTGCTGGAACTAGCATCTTTGCAGATGTAATGAGTTAAGGTGCAGGCATACTGGAGTACGGTGGGTCCTAACCCTGTATGACCAGTATCCTTAAAACGAGAGATGCAGACAGACAGACACAGAGGAGGAGGCCATGTGAAGACGGAGGCCAACTGGAGGGATGTGTCTACAAGGCCAAGAGTGCCAAGGATGGCCCAGAGCCACCAGAATCCGGGAGAGAGGCAGGGAACAGAACCTCCCCAGAGCCTGGAGGGAGCGTGGCCCTGCAGACACCTTCATTTCACACTTCTGGCCTACAGAACTGTGTGAGAATAAACTTATTGTAAGCCACCCAGTGGTATTCTGAGCTGGGTGCAAAGTTTCCTCTAATCTCTAGTTCTTGCCTTGTTTCTCTGTATCACATAAGTCAGGTGGGCCCCAAAGCAGCACTGTTCAATTATAAGATGTTGTGAGCCACTTACGTCATTTTAAAAATTCTAGTAGCCTCATTAAAAAAAGTAAAAAGAAGCAGGTAAAAGAAATTTTAATAATATATTTTATTTAATCCAATATGTCAAAAATATGATCATTTCAACTTGTTGTTGTTAGGTGCCATCAAGTTGGTTCCGACTCATAGTGACCCTATGTAAAATGGAATGAAACACTGCCCAGTCCTGATCCATCCTAACAATCCTTGCTATGCTTAAGCCCACTGTTGGCAACCACTGTGTCAATCCATCTCGTCAAGAGTCTTCTTCTTGTTCGCTGACCCTCTATTTTACCAAGCATGATGTCCTTCTCCAGGGACTGGTCCCTCCTGATAGTATGTCCAAAGTATATGAGACGAAGTCTCGCCATCCTCCCTTCTAAGGAGCATTCTGGCTGTACTTCTTCCAAGACAGATTAGTTCATTCTTCTGGCAGTCCATGGTATATTCGATATTCTTCACCAACACCATCATTCAAAGGCATCAATTCTTCTTCAGCCTTCCTTATTCATCTTCCTTATTCATTGTCCAGGTTTCGCATGCATATGAGGTGATCGAAAATACCACAGCTTGGGCCAGGCACAGCTTAATCCTCAAAGTGACATCTTTGCTTTTCAGCACTTTAAAGGGGTCTTTTGCAGATTTGCCCAATGCAACATGTGGTTTGATTTCTTGGCTGCTGATTCCATGGGCATTAATTGTGGATTCAAGTAAAATGAAATCCTTGACAACTTCAATCTTTTCTCCGTTTATCATGATGCTGCTTATTGGTCCAGTTGTGAGGATTTTTGTTGCCTTTATGTTGAGGTGTAATCCTTACTGAAGGCTGTGGTCTTTGATCTTCATCAGCAAGTGCTTCAAGTCCTCTTCACTTTCAGCAAGCAAGGTTGTGTCATCTGCATAACGCAGGTTGTTAATGAGTCTTCCTCCAATCCTGATGCTGCCTTCCTCATCATACAGTCCCGTTTCTCAGATTATTTTCTCAGCATACAGACTGAATAGGTATGGTGAAAGGATACAACCCTGATGCACACCTTTCCTTACTTTAAACCACGCAGTATCCCCTTGTTCTGTTCCAACGACTGCCTCTTGGTCTATGTTTAGGTTCCGCAGGAGCACGATTAAGTGTTCTGGAATTCCCATTCTTCGCAATGTTATCCATAATTTGTTATGATCCACACAGTTGAATTCATTTGCATAGTCAATAAAACACAGGTAAACATCTTTCTGGTATTCTCTGCTTTCAGCCAAGGTCCATCTGACATCAGCAATGATATCCCTCATTCCACATCCTCTTCTGAATCTACACTGAATTTCTGGCAGATCCCTGTCGATGTACCGTTGCAACTGTTTTTTGAATGGTTTTCAGAAAAATTTTATTTGCATGTGATAATAATCCTATTGCTCAATAATTCCTGCATTCTGTTGGATCACCTTTCTTTGGAATGGGTGTAACTATGGATCTCCTCCCGTTGGTTGGTCAGGTAGCTGTCTCCCAAATTTCTTGGCATAGACGAGTGAGCACTTCCAGCGCTGCATCTGTTTGTTGAAACATCTCAGTTGGTATTCTGTCAATTCCCAGAGCCTTGTTTTTCGCCAAAGCCTTCAGTGCAGCTTGGACTTCTTCCTTTAGTATCATCAGTTCTTGATCATATTCTACCTCCTGAAATGGCTGAATGCCAACCAATTGTTTTTGGTACAGTGACTCTGTGTATTCCTTCCATCTTCTTTTAATGCTTCCTGTGTCATTCAATATTTTGCCCACAAAATCCTTCAATATTGCAACTTGAGGCTTGAATTTTTTTTCAATATTTCAACTTGAGAAATGCTGAGCGTGTTCTTCCCTTTTGGTTTTCTAACACCAGGTCTTTGCACATTACATTATAATACTTCGTTTTTTCAAGCTGCCCTTTGAAATCTTCTGTTCCGCTCTTTTACTTCATCAATTTTTCCATTTGCCTTAGCTTCTCTACGTTCAAGAGCAAGTTTCAGAGTCTCTTCTGGTATTCATTTTGATATTTTCTTTCTTTCCTATCTTTTTAGTAACCTTCTGCTTTCTTCCGGTGTGATGTCCTTGATGTCATCCCACAACTTGTCTGGTCTTCGGTCATTATTACATAATAAATATAAAAATTATTGAGCTATTTTATGGTTTTCTGGCCCCAAGTCTTTGAAATCAGGTGCTTATCTGACACTCACAGCACAAGGGCAGCAGTGGGCGAGGGCACGCTGGTTTGGGTCATTTCTGGGCTTCTAGCCCCTCTACCGCCTCTTAACTGCTTGTTCTGGGAGCACTACACAAAGATCCATGCAGTATACTTTTGTCAGAAATTACAAGTTCTCTTGTCCAAGTCTTGATTTTCATGGGGGCTAATGTGCTGTCTGGTTATAAGTTAGTACTCAGAGAGGTGGAGTCCTGGGCTGCGGCAAACGGCTAATGCACTCGGCTACTAACGGGGAGGTTGGAGGTCCAAGTCCACCCAGAGGCATCTCGGGAGAAAGTCCTGGTGATACACTTCTGAAAAATCAGTCATTGACAGCACAGTTCTACCCTGACACACACAGGGTCACCATGAGTCAGAGTCAACTCAACAGCAACTGGTTTACGAGAGGCAGTCTACATCTTTGAGTCGGCTCAGCGTGTTCACGACCTGGAGCGATCAGAAGAGGCTTGGAAGGGTCCTACCAATTATTTCTGGGGCGTGACTCAGACGCCACACTCCAAGGCTCCCAGCCTGTGCGCTGGGCAGCATAGTTCTACTCCAGAGAATGAAAGGACGGAGCAAAGATAGCCGCAGCCACATCTCTGCACCGGGCAGGAGCTGGCTCACCAGGCGCCAAGACACGAGCAGTGTCACCCTACCTGTCAAGGTTGAGTTGTTTGTACAGATCCAGGATTTTACCGAAGTACTTCTTCTCTGAGTTGAGGGCATCCAGCTGGGCAACGCAGGTCCCGTGCTTCCGCCATTCGTGCTTCCTGTAAGAATTTAAAAAAAAAACCTCTAGTTGGAAGCTGATGAAACAAATTCGCAGCAAAAAGTGTTTCAACATGTGTTCCCCTAGTCCAGAACACTCACATGCAGAGGGCATGCTGTTTCCTTGGCAAAGAAGGAAGGATAAAAGTCCTTACTTGCAACTCGGGCAATTACTGAGATCCCCTAAGCACAGAAGCAAGGCCCAGGCAATGCAGCCCCACTCCAGAGGTCTCTCTATCTCCTCTTCATGCCTTTCACTAGTAATCAGCTCCAATTCATTCCTACGATTACAGCTTGCACAATTAAGAACAAATGAAAACTGGAAAGAAGACAGCATGGCTGTGCAAACATATACAGGTTCGCAGAGCGGAGCATTCTTCTGCAGAGCGCTAGCACCCACAGCCAGGAATCAGAGAGAGGCTCCCTGGTCGTTTCTCAGCAAACAAAAGACGGAGTAACTAATTACTAAGGAACGCCTCATGCCCCTCCCCATTCCGGCTTCTACCACTGACTACAGTTTTTGTGTCAATTCTACATATGGGACCATGATAAAATAACAGTCAACGGAAACAAGGTACCCTAACCAAATGCCTGCAGACAAACAGTAATTTTCACTCAAGAGAAATACTGTTGTTAGTAATAACTCCTTACAGTCTATTGCAGATTAAAGTTTTCCAAAATGTTTTCACATTCTTCATTTAGTTCTCACAACTCTGCATGACAAAAACCTTATCCCTAGTTTAGAAATGGGGAAACTGAGGCTCAGAGGGGTTAGGTGTCTTGATAAAAGTCACACAGCCTGCACTTGAACTCCACTCTTTCGATTCCTAGCTCAGGGTCTTTTCCATCACGCTGCCTTGTCCCATTCAATCCTTTGCTGAATATAATTTATACCTACCCTGACAACGACAGCTGACTTGTCAATGCAGATGCTAATGGTTTTTAGCATGGAAAAACAAAATGGATATCAGGTTTCCTTCACTCTACTTGTGATTAATTCAGGAAGCTTTCATAAATAATATCTATGCAGCCTTTTATAAAGCACTCATATGTGGCCTCTCAAAAACATACACTACATTTGCATTAATTCATTGGTAGAATTCATCCAGAGTACCAGATTTAAATAAATGCATTGGTTGTTTCTCAGACCTAAGAAAAATATGAAAAATTGAACCAGGAAGAATAAAAAAGGATGAATAACTTTCTTCATCTAGAATAGTTTCTGGAGCAAATTATTTGATAGTTTTCTATATTCTATGGAGCATAAAAGGGACATTCTCTGAAATACACTGAAAGTGTAAGCTGATTATAGGTGCCTTGTTGTTCTTGTTAGTAGCCATTGAGTTGCTTCCGACTCATGAGGACCCCATGTGTGCAGAGTAGAACTGCACCTTAGGGTTTTCAAGCTGTGACCTTTCAGAAGCAGATCGCCAGGCCTGTCTTCCAAGGCACCTTCTTAGTTTCTGTAAAACAGGAATAACTCTAGAACCTATCTCATGGTGAGGTTGGGAGGAGTAAATGAGCTGAAGCGTACAAGCACTCTGAAACAAGCAAATATAGTTCCTGGCTCATGATAAGTATTCAATAAATGTCAGTGCAACAAGTGTAACTCAATAGATACTGGGGATGAGAACGTACTAAAGCACTGATATCCTCGTGGTTCAAAACACTTAACCACACATCATTTGGAATCACACGTTGTCTCAGTCATCTAGTGCTGCTCCAACAGAAATACCACAGGTGGATGGCTTTAACAAAGCGAAGTTTATTCTCTCACAGTCCAGCAGGCTACAAGTCCAAATTAGGGCATCAGCTCCAGGGGAAGGCTTTCTCTCTGTTGGCTCTGGAGGAAGGTCCTTGTGATGCATCAGTCTTCCCTTTGTCTGGGAGTATCTCAGCACAGGAACCTTAGGTCCAAAGGACTCACTCTGCTCCTGGCACTGCTTTCTTGGTGGTGGGAGGTTCCCATGTGTCTCTGCTCCTTCTCTCTTTTATATCTCAAAAGAGACTGGATTAAGACACTATCCAATCTTATAAACCTCATCAGTATAACCTCATCATAGTGATAGAGTTTACAACACATAAGGAAATCGCATCAGATTATACAATCATACAATACTGGGAATCATGACCTAGCCATTTTGGGGGGATGCAATTCAATCCATGACAGACATTTTTAATGTAACACCAAGATTTACAGTTATCAATCAGAAGTGAGTAACCATGTTGCCCTTTGTACTCAAATCCGTGTTGGCTGATTCCCTTTCCTTGCTGATGGATCTTCTCTGTGGGCTACAATGCAACCAGCTCTCTGCAGCAGTGTAACCACTGGAAAATTACACGTTGTCTCCTTGGCAACCACACAGCCATTATTTCCAAGAATACTGTGAAGTGCTACATGAAATGTTTTCTCCTTGTTTTCCCCCATTTCAACTCATTCCAGCCATTCTTTCTTTCCTAAGCATTTTCCGGAATACAGATTATGCAGAGCCAGTGCTGGAGAGCTGAGTCATTCCTATCCCACGCATTCATCCACAGCGGCGGGTTCTTTTTCCTGCTGAAGGGGCAATTTCATGGTATAGACCTGGATCCACGAATCACAAAGCACCTCCCCTCCCCCCGTCACATGCCCTCAGAGTCCCTGGCTGGTGCAATGGTTAAGTGCTCGGCTGCTAACCGAAAGGTTGGAGGTTCGAGTCCAACCAGAGGTGCCTCGACAAATAGTGCTCGTGATCTACTTCTGAAAAACAAGCCACCGACAACCCGACGGAGCAGTTCTACTCTGACACACGGGGGGAGTCGGAATCAACTCGACGGCAACAACAATTTATTTCACCCTTCACAGCAGGCATGTCTGCCCCTTCCAGAGGAGAGTTGTCCTAACAGCGCAGATAGCACACCTGCCTTTCACTGCTGTTACTTCTCATTCAACTTCCCTCAGCTGTGTCACCTTCTTTCCTTTCGTGGGATTCTGAACTTACAGTACTCTGGGTGCTGAAGCTCCAGAGACACTCTCCTTCCCCCCATAATACTCTGGGTGACAGAAAGAAGAACGCTGGCTGACTGTCAGGAGACGCGCTCTCCAGTCCCAGCTCTGCCACTCCCTGTGTGCGCTCAGGCATGTCACTCATCCTCTCCCCTCATCAAGGTCTCCTTCAGCTCTAACTTCTGCGGGCTCTGATCGAAGTGGATGCAAACATATGTATTTTTCTTTTTTTTTTCAAGCTGATCCCTAGGTCACTGGCATGTATCAACATCAAACAAACTCCACTAGGTGCGCGCTGTATGAATCCGCCTTGTTGGGAAAGTTCAGCTCTTTCTTTATATGGAGGAAACAGTCCTTCAGTGAGAAATAACCCAGATGTCTTGGGAGAAGACAATCCTTGGATCACACACAGGTCCCAGTCACAGAACCACCACCCCAACGTGACCCATGTGCTTCTGTTTCTACCTCTGCTCCCTGATTGTTGTCGTTAAGTGTCGTTGAGTTGGTTCCGTCTCACAGCGACCCCGTGTACGACAGAATGAAACACGGCCCAGTCCTGCGCCATCCTCACAATTGTTGTTATGCTTGAGCCCCTTGCTGCAGCCACTGTGTCAGTCCATCTCGTTGAGGGTCTTCCCTCAACATGCATGCATATGAGGCGACTGAAAACACCATGGCTGGGTCAGGTGCACCTTAGTCTTTAAAGTGACATCCTTGCTTTTTAACACTTTAAAGAGGTCTTTCGTAGCAGATTTGCCCAACGCAATGTGTCGTTTGACATCCTGACTGCTGTTTAAGTCTTGCTAAATATGTCTGATGTAAACTGAAAACACAGTTCCACAGTTGACTTGAGATTCACATTCTGAAACATCACACAATCAAAGACGGGTGTTTCTTTCTGGTTGGAAGCCTCCCATCTCTGGCTCTGAAGCCCCCTGAGAAGCAGGGTGACTCTGCAAGTCAGAACAGACCACGAGGGATGGGAAACATTCTGCTGCGTGCAAGTGTTTCCTTCCAGGCTCTGAAGAACAGCAGCTTCAGCACTTACACAAGACTGTGATACTTTCCCCTCCCACATTAGGCTGTTTCTTCTGCTAACAAGCTAGGAGACATCCAAGAACAAAGTAAATTATTTAACTTCATTAAATCTTGAAAAATACTGCAACGAAATCACATCAATGCTGTTGTTACACTTCCCAGATTCCGGTCTCGGATACACCATGTAATGTCTTTGTGTATGTGTGTGTGTAAGAATAAGAATCTATATGTAAGAGTAATCGTGTGTAATAGCGATAATAAGTACGTAAGAGTAATCGTGTGTAATAGCGATAATAAGTATGTAAGAGTAATCGTGTGTAATAGCGATAATAAGTATGTAAGAGTAATCATGTGTGTAATAGCGATAATGTGTGTCTGAGAGTCATCATGTGTGTAAGAGTAACCATGTACATAAGAGTAAAAATGTGTGTAAGAGTAACTGTGTGTATAAGAGTAAAAATGTGTGTAAGAGTAACCGTGTGTATAAGAGTAAAAATGTGTGTAAGAGTACCTGTGTGTGTGTAAAACTGTGTGTGAGAGTAACTGTGTGTAAGAGTAAAAATGTGTGCAAGAGTAACTGTTGGTAAGAGTAAAAGCTGTGAGAGTAACCATATGTAAGAGTAAAAATGTGTGTAAGAGTAACTGTGTGTAACAGTAAAACTGTGTGTGAGAGTAACCGTGTGTAAGAGTAACCATGTGTGGAGAGTAAAGATGTAAGAGTAGCCGTGTGTGTAAGAGTAGTCGTGTGTGTAAGAGTAATTATGGCTCTTGTTTGCACCTAGTAATATGATCCTTGTAATAACTGTTTAATGTTTAAAATAACAAGCATGTCTTCACACTGACTTGCTGCAAAAACACAGTGAAACGCCTCATCAGCCCAGAGGAAGGAACCAAATGACCGTGAGCTGCTCTTCCTAATACAGAAACCACGCTGAAAACCACACGCCTTAAATCACTGAAATGAGTGAAGCCAATCATTGCATTTGTATCCCTGGAAAAATTTAGGGCAATGTCCTGAGGTAATAGTAACAATGGAAAGCATTTATATAAAACAAACAAACTTTTTTTTCTCAATTCTTCACCTGAAAATTCTACACAGAAGATTCTTCCGGGTTAATCTTTCTGTGCACAATCTGATTAGCTGGACTCTGAGTTATACACTGCCATACTGGAGAGAGAGATAAAAAATACAGAATTTTACCCTCCGTTGTTGTTGGCAGCCAGTGAGTGGGCTCCAACTCACAGCGACCCTACAAACAACAGAAGGAAACACCACCCAGCCCTCCGCCTTCCTCACAACCATGGTTATGCCTGAGCCCACTGTTGTCGCCACTGTGTCCATCCATCTTGTTGAAGGCCTTCCTTTTTTTTTTTCGCTGAGCCTCTACTTGATCAAGCATGATGTCCTTCTCCAGGGACTGGTCCTTCCTGATAACACGTCCAAAGTATGTGAGGTGAGGTCTCACCATCCTCCCTTCAAAGGAGCATTCTGGCTGTACTTCTTCCAAGACAGATTTGTTCATTTTTCTGGCAGTCCGTGGTATATTCAATATTCTTCGCCAACACCATCATTCAAAGGCATCAATTCTGTCTTCCAAATTTCTTGGCATAGACGAGTAAGCACTTCCAGCGCTGCATCCGTTTGTTAAAACATCTCAGTTGGTATTCCCTCAATTCATGGAGCCTTGTTTTTCACCAATGCCTTCAGTACAGCTTGGACTTCTTCTTCAGTATGATCGGCCCCTGATCATATGCTACCTCTTGAAATGGTTGAACGTCGACCAATCTTTTTGGTGTCATGACTCTGTGTATTCCTTCCATCTTCTTTTGATGTTTCCTCCATCATTCAACATTTTGCCCATAGAATCCTTCAGTACTGCAACTTGAGGCATGAATTTTTCTTCAGTTCTTTGAGCTTGAAAAATACCAAGCGTGATCCTCCCTTTTGGTTTTCTAACTCCAGGTCTTTGCACATTTCGTTATAATACTTTGTCTTCTCGAGCCACCCTTTGAAATCTGTTCAGCTGTTTTACTTCATCATTTCTTCCATTAACAATGTTCAAGAGCATGTTTCAGAGTCTCTTTTTGACATCCATTATACTAACTACCTTCAGTCAGTATAATGTAAATAAAAGGAATGTTTGTCTTCGGAGGCAATTATTTTAAAAGCTATTCTGAATTAAACACATCATGTCTCTACTAGGCTCAGCTCCTGCTAAACTTAGAGGTGTTTAACTGAAACACAGAGAATTTAGCCTCAAGTTTAAATTCCACCTTCTATGGGGGCAGTGGTGGTTCCGCGGTAGAATTCTCACCTTCCATGCAGGAGACCTAGGTTCTATTGCCAGCCAATGCACCACAAACCCGGCCACCACCTGTCTGTCCATGGAGGCTTGCATGCTGCCGTGATGTCGAAAAGGTTTCAGCAGAGCTTCCAGACTTAGACGGACTAGAAAGAAAGGTCTGGCAATCTACTTCCGAAAAATCAGTCAGTCAAAATCCTATGGACCACAAAGGTCAGATCCCAAACCAATCATGGGGATGGCACAGGACCAGGTAGTGTCTCGTTCTGTTATGCACAGGGTCACCATGAGTTGGGGGCAACTCGATAGCAACCAACAGTAACAGTAGTCCTGAGTCCCATGAGTAAGATAATTATCTTCTTGAGCACGTCTTTCTTTTTCTTAAGATGTGTCAAGCCAGGAGCATAATTTATTTAAGAAACAGTCTCTGCTGTCTAAGTATTCCGCTGAGTTAAACCTTAGGATGGGACATTTTAAAAACATACATGTATGTTTTTATTGCAGCAAGTATACAAGTAACAAAACATTTGCATTTCAACCATCTTCACATGTACAGTTCAGTGACATTAATTATGTTCATCATGTTGTTCAACCATCACCATTAACTGTTCCCAAATTTCTCCATCACCCTTAAGAGAAGCTCAGTGTCCCCTAAGTATCGTGTCTTCCAGTCCGCCTCCCTCCCAGCCGCCCCTAGTGACCACTAATAAACTTTGGTCTCTATGCACTTGCCTATTCTAGATGTTTCACATAAATGGGACCACATAGTATGTCTCCTTTTGTGACTGACTTATTTCACTCAGCACGTTTTCAAGGTTCATTATTATTGTAGCACATACCAGGACTCCATTTCTGAGGGAGGAAATGTTTTAAACGAAGAAATAAATGACATAGCAGATCAATCAGAAAACAACAAGCTGACAAGGTAAACTCCTTTGCCCTTTTATCCACCGCAGAAAGGCACTAAACGCAGCCTCACAGAATCGTCTCTAGATAAAGGTTGTTCCAACTTCTCAGGCTTAGCAGACAGGTTCTTAAGTCTTTTATCTTTGCTTCCCACATTGTTTCCACTTAAATGTATTTATAAAGCTTTCCATACTTGTTTTTTAAGACTGGGGATGGCTGTCAAAAACAAAAACTTACCAGAATTGGCTGCAATTAGGAGGCCGATGGATTATATCAGGCCAGTACATCTTCATTTCTGGCAGAAGGTCCTACATAAAAAAAAAAAAAAAAAAATTAAAAAGTCCACACAGAATCTAATAACTCAAAACCCAGAATGCAGCTCTGATGAACTAACATATTAAGAAAATTAATTATACTTAGGCAAGTAAAATGATTCTGTGCTTATTTTGCATGAAGTGTTTCTTATGACATATCTAAAAGGGAAGTTGGAATCATTACAAAACTGAATTCTCCTTTCCCCAGAGACAAGCTGCTCTGGGGGGCAGTCTCAGCCCCCTGCACACTTCAGACCAAACCCACCGCTGTCAAGTCAATTCTGACTCATAGTGACCCTGTAGGACAGAGGAGAACTGCCCCACAGAGTTTCCTAGGCTGTAATCCTTATGGGAGAAGATCATCAGATATTTTATCCCACAGAGCTACTAGTGGGTTTGAACCACCAACTTTTCGGTTAGCAGCTGAGCACTTAACTGTTGTGCCACTAGGACTCTTAAATAACACATAAGCTACACCAAACCAAACCAATTGCTGTGGAGTTGGTTCCGACTCATAGCGACCCTACAGGACAGAGTAGAACTGCCCCATAGGGTTTCCAAGGCTGTAAATCTTTATAGAAGGAGACCGCCACATCTTTCTCCCATGGAGCAGATGGTAGGTTTGAACTGCCGACCGCTGGGCCACCAGGGCTCCTTTGGCAAATGGCAGGCACTCCATAAATCTGTGCTGAATGAATTCATCTTTAATTCCACTTGAAGATGACACATCATAAGCAGGAACAACCCAGTGGTGTCATGGGGAGTTAAAACGTGCCCTTGAAGAGGAAAATGTCTGTGAACCGCCATCACCAGGCTTCGGGGCATCTCCAGTAACTGCTTGTAGAGGGTCCCAAGAGCCTTAGGCCTCCAGGATTATGGCCTTAGAAGACCTCCTAGAAAGGAAACGGAGGAAAGGAACCCAGTCCAGTGCAATGTGGATTAGAACCTGTGATGAATTTGGAGCTAGTTATCCCATCCTTTCAGGAGGACACATCTTCCTGGGAGGGATCTATAATTCCAGCAAATCCTCTGATCCCACCTCATACTCTCAAGGTGGTCCCCTGACCTCCTGGATCCCATCCTGCAAACCCAGGCTGTGGGTACCTTGACATATTACTGATTATTCACAAGGAATTGTGGGTAACCCCTAAGAAAAGATGAGTGTGCGCGTGTCTCTGTGTGTGTGTGTGTGTGTGTGTGTGTGTGCGTGCGCATGCATGCGTGCGTGCACGTGAATGGGGGGAGGAAGAGAGAGAGGGCCCTCTATTCCACATAAGGTAGGTGAATTCCTGGATATCTGAAAAGATCACTTCTGCTAATCTCTCTTGTAAATTCCAGTCCTGTGAGTTAACCTTTAATATAATCTTTTGTACTTGTTATGGGCTGAACTGTATCCCCTCAAAATACATGTTGGAATCCTACAGATGTGATCCTGTTTGGAAATAGGATTTTCTTTGTTATGTTAATGAGTCCGTACCAGTGTAGGGCGTGTCCTAAACCTAATCAACTTCTGAGGTATTGAGGGGTGGAGAAGCACCTTGCTGAAAGCAATTTGGCCTTTTTTTCTGGTTCTTTCTAGCCAGACTAACACCTGAGGCTAATGAGTGGGGGCTGACTAGATCAAGAGGGACCAACTGGGGGTCTGGTGCTGACTAAGCATCATGATGTAATCTATCATGGCCATGTGGTGAGGCCAATAACAGCCCTGAGCCTTGAGGCTCAGAGGAGCTTCCTGGCTGGTGTCCATGCACGGGAGAGGGCAGCACATCCCTCCTTGGGGTATGGAAGCTCTATTCTGGTACCCCTCCCAGAACTCACCCTATGTGTCTCTTCATTTGTGTCCTTTATGGTTGTAATAAACCTGTACCTGTAAGTATGGTGTACTCTCTGTGAGAGTCTGTGAGTTGTTCTAGCAATTTATCAAGCCCACAGGGGCAGTGAGAGTAGGCAGGGGCTGGCGTCTGCCTGTCTGGCAGTATGAAAGAAGGTGTCCTTCTAACATGTGAGCTCTGACCCAGCTCTGGGTGGCTGGGGTCAGAGAAACGCTACATGGGCAGCTGGTCTCAAAGGTGTCCTTCCAACCTGTGAGCTCTGATCCAGCTCTGGGTGGCTAGTGTCAGAGAGAGATGGTGCCACGTGGTCAGCTGGCAACAAGGATGGAGGAGTGGCAAGGTCGGGACTGGATCCATTCCACACTTTAGGGATGGGATTCATGCTGATCCTCATCACACAGTTAGGAACAAAGGTGGGGTTTGCCCACTGCCCCTTTCTAAGTGCAGATATAAAAAGAGCAGCTCAGACACAGGCGTGAGCACAGATGGGGGAAAACAGATACTACGTGAAGATCACCATGGAATCAAGGAACGCAAGGGCTGCAGAAGCTGAAAGAGACAAGGACCTTTCCCCAGAGCTGACAGAGAGAGCCGTCCCCTAGAATCAACACCTTGAATTTTGCCTGCTCACCTCCTGAACTGTGAGGTAGTAAGTTGCTATTCTTCAAAGCCCCTGACATGTGGCAGTTCTGTTACAGCAGCAGAGAGAACCAAGACATCCATCATTCCTCCTTGCTCACAGCCCCTACTCAGAAACCCACCCCAGCTACGGCCAGAAAGGATAGCCCTGCACCACCTGACACTATGCTCCACGCCACAAGTCCCTAGAGCTGCCTTCCCCACCAAGCGTTTGAACTATGCGTCACGGGAGCCCATCAGTGCCGGCTCACGGGGGCAGCGAGTGTATGGCACCAGAGTGCACTTTACCCATGTCTGGGTTCACTTCCCATAGTCCACTTAGGGGCTGGTTTGGACCTGGGGCTGAGGAGGAGAAAGGTCAATGTTTATTTAATTTGTGAGATTCTTTTACATTATCAATAACTCCTGAAAAATACCAGAGTGTCAATCATGGTGAACATATTCGTGAGCTCCTAATTTTAAAACATGACATTAAAGGTGCACTCATAAAAAAAACAGTCAATCCAGTCCAACATTCTACAATGGTTAACAGTAACATAACTAAAAATTCATACCTTGATCTCTTCCAAATTAAAGTGCCATGACCGGTTACAGTCTTCTGCTTTATCAGCCCTTGAAATTGACAAGATAAAGAGAAATTAGTCTTGGTTGGGAGGGCAGCAACCTGACATCAGCAAACTCATGAAAGTCACCATCATGAAGGTCTGTAGAGGACAGATTTGAGAGAACTCTCAACTGGGATTCCTCACGCCATGAAAACCACTATCATGAAGGTCTGCAGAAGACAGATGTGAAAGAACTCTCAACTGGGATTCCTCACTCCATGAAAGTCACCACTATCATGAAGGTCTGCAGAGGACAGAT